CACTGGATTCCGAGATTTGTTTCTGAGACTCTGGGATCGTGGCCATTAAGCAGTTTGATCAGGAACCAGAGAGGCCATGCCTCCAATTATATAGCTGAGCCGGAGGTGGTTTGTGGGTGTGTCTCCTACATACCTAACTTTTGGCCGTTTACTTTCTTGGTAAACTTTGCCCCAAGTTTTTGGGGTCTGGCCAAAGGCACAGCAACAATTTGGGGTATCTGAAAGTCTGACGTTGCCATCAGGCTGCTGATGCACTTACCTCACAGGTACAGATTGACCTGCTGGAGGCACCACACCCCCATCATTGCTTTTCTGTTATAGTATTCTTTCTTATTGAATATAGACAAAGAATTTTCTCAAAATAACACATGGATATATAGTTTCTTAATGGTACACAAGAATAAATTAATACTTACCTTTCACTGTACTTTTAAGTGTATTTTCACATACATCTAGCTGATAAAATACCCATTCATAGACTTATCTTAAACAAAACCCAACACATACAAAATTTTTAAAGAGTGTTAATACTTTCTGAAAATAACTCTTCTAGTTCAATAAATATGGAGATTGGAGACAGACACATTCTCAAAGATGATTTAAAAATGGCTAACAGACATAAGAAAAAAATTCTTCATAATTATTTTTAGGGAAATGCAGATCAAAATGGCAATGAGGTATAATCTCATTCTATCAAGAATGGAATATGTAAAACAATTCCAGAAACAGGAAGTGCTGACAAGGATGTGGCAAAATGAACCCTTATTCAGTACCAGTGGGATTGTTACTTGGTGCAATCTCCTTAGAAAAGTTTGAAGACTTCTTAAATTAAGAATAGAGTTTCCAGGGCTGGAGTGATAGCACAGCGGGTAGGGCATTTGCCTTACATGCGGCCTACCGGATTCCCAGCATCCTATACAGTCCCCTGAGCACCGCCAGGGGTAATTCCTGAGTGCAGAGGCAGGAGTAACCCCTATGCATCGCTGGGTGTGACCCAAAAATAAAAAAAAAAGAATAGTTTCAATTCGATTCAGTGGTTCCACTCTTCGGCATCCTAACACCCCTTTCCTCCCACCAAAACATAAAATATGTAATTAGAAAGGACATATACACATTATTAGTCATAATAAATAATATATTTTTATAATTATATAGTTATATAATAACCAAATATTGAAGCAACCCAAGTGCCCCCAAACAGTTTAGTGAATAAATAAATTATGGCATTTAAAGACATAAACAATGGAATACTATTCAGCTAAGAAAAGAGATGAGAGATGACATCATGCTGTTTTCTGCAACCATGATGGAACTGGAGGAAGTCATGCTAAGTGATGAGTCAGAAAGAAAAAGATAAACACCCGATGATCTCACTGAGGAATATGAACAAACAAAGCAAAGGGTTAGAGACAATCCCCCCCCCAAAAAACAAACCTGAGTTGTTATCTGAGATGGGTGCAGAGGGCTTGTGAGGAAAGGGACATAGGATAATGGTGGAAGGATTCACTCTGTTTGTGTGCTTGGTGTAGCCTCACTTCCCATTTAAAACAATTATATTAGTGCTATCATTTAAAATTAATTTAAAAAAGAAAAGAAAGGAAGCAACAATTTGTCTGCACCCACATTACTCAAATGGGTATAAAGAATGATATGCTTTTGAGCCATAAGCAGATTTTATATTTGTGCTTGTTTGTCTATGGGTACAGTGTACACACAGCACACACATGTGGACATGTACACAATGCACACACATATGTGCACACACGCCACTAAAATTTTAGCATTCAATAAGGAAAGAGAAAAATTATGAAATAAAATCTATTACATTTTTATTGTTTTTTTTATTATTATTTGGCAATGCACAGGTGTTCCTCCTGGCTCTGCACTCAGGAATTATTCCTGACAGTGCTCGGGGGAACATATGGGATGCTGGGAATAGAACCCAGGTTGGCCGCGTGCAAGGCAAACACCCTACTCGCTGTGCTATAGTTCCAGCCCCTCTATTACATTTTTAAAAACAGTTTCAATTGTTTCAAAGTTTTGGGTTTGCAAAAAAATCTATAAAAATGTTTAGATGGTTTTTCTGTATTCCTTGAACTCAGGCCCCATACGCACTGCCTCCTTCCCTGTAAACATTCTCTTACACAGTGGTGTATTTGTTAGAATCTATATGCATACAATACAAATCCAAGCCCCATTTTATTTGCTTTTTAAAAAATTATTTTAGGCATTGTGGTTTATACTGTTAATGATAGGATTTCACGCATGACACATACCCACTCCATACCCTCCACCAGAGTCCATTTTCCTCTACAGAACCATTTTATTCATAAAAAACAACTTAACTGCTTTGTAAGAAAGAATTCACTTGTATTTGGACTTGGATCATTTTACGTTTTATGTTTTAACAAATGGTGCTTACTTTTAAAAGAAAGTGAAATGTATCAAATGTGCATTTTATCTCATTGTTATTAAAACTATGCAAAAGCTTTTATTTATTCATTTATTTTTTTCCTATTTGGGGCCACACCCACCTATGCCCAGCACTTAAGAATCACTCCTGGTGGGCTCTTGGGAACCACAGGGGGTACCAGAGGTTGAACCTGGATTAGTCATGCAAAGCAAGGGTCTGACCCATAGTTCTGTCTCTCCTGCCCCAATTTTAAATCACTTATCACTGTCACTGTCACTGTCCTGTCCTCCCGTTTTTCATCGATTTGCTCGAGTGGGCCCAGTAACGTCTCCATTGTGACACTTGTTACTGTGTTTGGCATATCGAATACTTCACGGGTAGCTTGCCAGGCTTTGCCATGTGGGTGAGATACTCTCAGTAGCTTTCCAGGCTCTCTGAGAGAGGCGGAGGAATCGAACCTGGTCAGCCAGGTCGGCCGTGTGCAAGGCAAACGCCTTACCCGCTGTGCTATCGCTACATCATTTATATTGTTCATTAAATTGGTCTTGCTTAAAATAAAAATATTGCAGTAAAATTTTTTAAAATCTTGATTTGAATGTATTTTGTAAAGCAATTTGAGCTTTTTGCTTTGAAATCAATTTTCCCACAATGCTTACAGATTTTCTCAAAGAAAAAATCCCTTGTGCTATTGTGACTTTGAGTCAGTAATTTTCACTTTTTCTCTTGGGTGCTCTTACAGGAGAGGACAGACAAGTTTTTTTTTTTTCATTTAGAGAATACTTCTTAAGTATTTCACTCTTCACATGGATTATAATATTGCATAAATATCTTGCCTTTGGATGGGGGTTGACCACACCCAGCAGTGCTCATGGATCACTGCTGGCTCTGTGCTCAAGTTCACTCCTGGTGATACTTAAGGAAATATAGGTAGTTCCAGGGACTAAAAAAGGGTTGGCTCTGTGCAAACACTCTGTTTTTAAAGTTTATTTATTATTATTATTATTAATTTAAGGGGTTTTTGGGCTTTACAAGGATTGCTGAATTTTGAAAAAAAAAAGTACAGATAGTGGTATTTAAAACAACAACAACAACAAAAAACACTTTCTCTTACAAAGGTAAATTACCAGAAATTTTAAAGGAATAAAGGAATAAATTTTAAAGGAAAAAAACCCAGAAAATATTAAAGGAATAAAGTTTAAATCCCTTATCACCACTTGGATTTATACACAATCTAAACAAACATATTTTATGTTTATAATCTCTACTGAGGGTGTTTAGTTTTTATAATTCAATGAAAGTAACTCCATGTACACAATTCAAATGGAAAAGATGGCAAGCAACACTATGGAAAACTGAAATCAAATCACAGCTGTTTTGTATTTCTGGTACTATTTCACTGTTCAGAAATAAATTGACAATAAAAGCCACATTTCGAAGTCTGCTTTAAACTGGTGATAAATGTAGAAAGTGTTTCTAAATGATTATAGATCAAAATCCCTTGACTCTTAGCCTGTGCTTGCTTCACACGTTTGGTTTTTGGGTCACACCCGGCAATGCACAGGGGTTACTCCTGGCTCATGTACTCAGGAATTACTCCTCCTGGTGCTTGGGGGACCATATGGAATGCTGGGAATCGAACCCCGGTCATCCGGCCAAGTGCAAGGCAAATGCCCTACCCGCTGTGCTACCGTTCCAGCCCTGCTTCACACATTTGAAATTCCATTATGAAGTTACTCTTTTGAGGACAAAAGTCCTGCAAATAGCATGATTAGCACATTATCTATGAAGTTATAATAATTTACGTATTTGTAAAATATTGGTAAGTGAGCAGCTGTCATGTTCAAAGAACTCGAAAGCAATGGAAATCAGTGTCATGTGTCGGAAACTATGATGAGTAATGCGAACAGTTTCTGTCAACTGAGACAGTTGGAGGATACAGGTGGATCCTCCTAAGTTAATAAGACCGGGTCAGCAACTCAGAATGAATGACAAAAATTCCAGCTACTCAGTGCCAAAGAAATGAAACTCGGCAAAATAGGTGGACACAGAGATACAGAACTGATTGAAAAAGCGTCGCCTGTGTCCTGTGGAGACAGACTTCTGGTTTCACACTTAATGCTGGTTACCTCCACTGTCTTGATTTTCATATAAGTTCATTTGTGCGTATTCATTTATTATTTCAGAAGTAAATGAAATAATATATGTTAAGTGCTTGGATCTGTGTAACACAGGAAAGTAATGATTCTCATTATTGAAACTAGCAACAAATTTTATTGCTAGTATGACATACTAGGTAAATCTTTTAGTTCACCCATTTTCTCAATCATTTTTATGCTCAATCATTGCAATAAAAAACTTCCTCTCACTTGTTTTGTGATAGTTGAAAGGCTTTAGGTATGTAAATCTCATGAGAATTTCCTGTATTGTGGTTATGGAACATAGAAGTTAGTGATTTTGCTGCTTCTTGGTTGTTCAATACAACTTTGTCTCAGCAATAAATGATTTATGAGTATCGTTTAAATGCACAGTTTTTGTCTTCTTTATTTAAAATTTTTCTGATATAACTGTCTTATTACTTCATTTCTAGCTTAATTCTGTGTCTTGGCACTGTTCATGAAGGAGCAAACGGGTCATCTGGGTCAACACTGGAGTATTTCTCATGGCAGGTACGTGTAATCTCAGTCATAAAATTAAAAAAAAAAGTAACTAGGAAACTTATATTATGAATATGGCTGCTTTTAGGGCAGAGCTTAAGGGGGAAAATGAACATTTTCATGTCTCAGTACTTTTGACTTTTTTTTTTTTGCTGATTCTTTGTTTTGTAACACAAAAAATTAATTTGAAAAGTCTTTCCAAATACTTCCAAAGATCAGCTTCTGGTATTCTGACAGGGATAGTTCTATATTCTAAACGGGAATTGATTTACCAGATTAAACACGAGCAACATAATGCAAGAACACTAGGAGAGACTGGCAAATCTAAATGCCAATGACTAACAATGCTCTTTTTGTTTAGTATTTCTGTTGTCATATACCCTAAATCACTCAGTTAACAAACTGACGCACTGTACTGTTGTTAATAGCAATACTCTTTGGAATGTGTTACTGCTAACACAGAATCTCCTAAGTGTTCAATTGTCTGAGGGAAATGTCTATGAGCAAGTAATTTGGGAGTATGAGGACATTTAAAGACCTTGTAATAATTTGTTTCTTAGATATTGTGATTGAGCATATTGTAAAATGCACTTGTTGGAGGGCCTCTCATTACATTAGATTGGGGTGGGGGGCTCCACATTTTGCCTTTGTATGTGACCTCTAAAGGTTAAAAACAGCCTCTAAAGGTTAAGAACATCCCTTCCTCAGAGCAAGGGATGCCTTGAGAATAGGACACATTTCCATGATGTTGTATTTCTACAATAATAGAATGAATAAAAAGGAAGACTCTGGTTCCAGAGCAACTAGTTGCTATTTCTCACTTGGATACCTCCATGGGAAAACAAAACAAAACAAAACACTATTACAGGAAGCTAAACATTCTCATTTTTCTTACTGGGAATAGTACTTTCTTGTGAGTTTTATTGTGGAAATGAAAGCAAGAAAATATTCAAATAGAGAAGGGGTGGGGGGAAATATTGTTTCTGTGAAAATAAACCCATTTATCCATTAATGGCATGCTCATTCAGCTCTTAGCTTTCTTAATATTCTTCTAAGTTATTTTGCTCTCAGTATCCAACAGCAACATCAAAAGAACAATGCAAAACTTCCTGCATACCTGTTTGATTGGAGAATTTAAAGTTTTTCCATTTATCATTTTTAAGTAAGGTCAATTTTATAACTTTATTGTATGTGGTTGTTAATGTAGGGGAATCTGCTTTTAAGTAGGAAAAGGTTACTTCGAAAGAATAGAATCCTAGATAGATTTCCCTCAGGTCAAGGGACTTGTTGTTAAACAGCTTGTTTAATTTTTAAAATATAAGTCTCAATGCAAGTTCATGAAAGAGTACTTAGTATCTGTTGCTCTTATCTTGCTTCTATCTTATTTCTAAGTCTCTTTGCCAAGTTAAACCAAAAATAAACACAAGGTCAAAGAAGTAACTCAAAGGGTTGAGATTTGAATGTAGGAGGCCCGAGATCTAGTCCATCAGCAACCATATGGTCCCCTGATCACTGCCAGGAGTGAGCCCTGAATAACACAGGAGGATGTGGTCTGCAAACAAACACCCCTCCCACCCCCAAATCCAATAACAACAAAAGCTGAATCTATTCACCTCACTGAAGATGTAGCTGATAGAGAACTGAAAGCACGATGACCTCCCTGAAGTATTAAAAGTACAACACACAAATTTTGGTAAAATACTTATATTTTACCAATTGTGATAAAATACTTATATTGTCTAATGTTTTATTGGCAAGATGATTGGATTGCAAAACAAAAAACTTTTTGTTTGTTTGTTTTTGCCATACCCAGCATTGCTCAGGGCTTACTCCTAGCTCTGAACCCAGGTATCAGTCCTAGTGGGCTCAGGGAACCATATGGAGGGCCAGGGATCTGACCGCGTTGGTCAGGTAAGAACCCTACCTGTTGCACCATCTCCAGTGCCCAAACCAGAGATTTTTCCTGTATTTTCTCTTGTTTCTGCTTAAAAACTCCAGCCTACGAGTGGTCCCTTGAAGTCATCATCTTATCTTGTTTTCTCTACAGCCCCAAGGACCATCCCATGGAAATGGATTTCTGGAATCTTAGGAGTATTGAGTGTTTTGCTGGTTGCTACTGTGGGAATTCTGCTGAAAAAGTGTAAGTTTTTCTAGGTAGATCCATATAAATATAGAAATGGATGAAATCATTTAATAATGAAGGCTTCATTTGACTCTAGTGCAATATTTTAAGTTATTTAAATATCTCTGTAATTAACTACATTTCCAATTCTTTCTTCTAGCATTTCTTCAACTAAATATTCAACTAAATATTAAGCCAACCATTTATCCAGGACTCACCGAAGAACTCCAGAAAGGTAGGTTCTAAATTACAAAAACCCTGAGAGTTGGAAGAAATGAACCAGACAGCTTTTAGTTTTTATCATGGAATAATGATTCAGTGCATTCAAATCCATGCACCTACCAATTGTAGGATAATCATTGCTTTTTAGCATAAAAGTTACTAATTTTTGTTAGTAACTTATATTAGGATTTATCGCTTACACTTTTACTAAGGAAAATATTAACCCCAATGACAATCCATTTTTCCTATATGAGTGCTCATGTTTTCCTCGCATATGGTCTATCTGGATTTGATCTTTGACACCACATACGGTTCCCCAGAGCGCTGTCCATTAGCACAGAGCCAGGAGTAAAACTTGAACATCACCAGGTATGACCCCAAGACAAAGCAAACTCAAACAGGAAATGATTTATTACTCACTATTACTTACTGCCAATATCCATTATTGATCTGTATTTGCTCATAACCCATACTTTATCCTTTATCTTTGCTTTTGTTTCTTTGATGATTCTGTTAACAGTGCTCAAATTTCTGCAATCCTAAACCACTTACCCAGTGCAAACCATCCCAAAGCGAGGTTTTGATGCGTTCCTTACCCCCAACGCTTTCCAAATTATTTCACAGTCCTCTATGAGCTCAGAGAACTTCATTTATATCATTTTCCCTTATCAATTTCCCAGTATTATTAAAATATAATAGATTTAAGACTGTGGAAATTTAAAAGTTTCAACACGTTGATTCATACATTTTTATATTGCAGTAAGATTTCCACCTCATCATGAGTGTTTATTTTTGTGATGAGACATTTCAAAATCTACCCTTTCTCATGAATTGCATGTAGATAATATAATATTTTTAACTGTAATCACAATGTTGTACAATAGAATATTAGAACTTTTGTGTCTTCTAACTGGAAGTATGTTTTGACCATCATTTCCTCATCCCTTTTCTCACTCCATCACCCCTCAATTCTGATAACCACCAAGCTACTGTACAACTTCAATTTTAGCAGCAAGTCATTAGGGAAAGATTTAAGGACCTGCATGTGCCAATGCTTTTTATTTGTGAGAGTAGTAAATCTTCAGAGCACTACCACTGCTAAACTCTAATCATACTTCAAATCGATTTTTTCATTTAACTTCATTTTGAAAATGAAATATTTGGCACATTTATCAGTATTACCCTGATAAACATTCTTTACTTGAGAAATAATGCTGAAATACTTTCCCCAATTAAATAGCTCGTTCATCTAATGTACTTCTCTGGGCATAACAAAGAACAGCTTCACATCCTTTACTCAAATGTTTCTTTGCACTGTTCCACTATCATATTCTACACTCAAGGACACAAATCTTGCATACTGGTTTTCATTTATTTATGGACCCAAATCATCACTAAATTTTGTCAGGAGTAATTGGAAGTTATATAATTCTGATTCTTTCATCAGAATAAAATTAACATCCATGTGGAAAAAGGGTTGTCTGAATTTATCACATTTGTATTATCTGAACTATGATATTGATAGTAGATTCTAGCAGAAAATTTGTAGAAAAGAAAATAAATAATGAAGGCATTTTGAATGTGTACTAGCATTAGAGAATGAAATCTTCACTGTCATAAGTTATGTTTAAATTTTTTTTTTTGTAGGCTCTGGCTGCTGCTCATGCCAAGAGAAGTGGATTGGATACAAAGGCAACTGTTACTTCATTTCTGATGAACTTAAGATTTGGGTAGAAAGTAGGAATTTTTGTATCTCTCAGAATTCCAGTCTACTTCAAATAGAAAAGAAAGATGAATTGGCATGTATTTAATTCTGCTTTCCTATATTTTTTCCACCTAGAAAAATATTTTATCTAAATAACTTATATATGTATATATAAGCTACATATGTTACATATATATTATATATGTAAAATTATTTATCCACATATATTACAATTATATAAAAGTATATAATTATATGCTAGAGCAATAGCACAGCGGGTAGGGCGTTTACCTTGCATGCGGCCCACGTGGCTGACCCGAGTTTGATTCCTCCGCCCCTCTCAGAGAGCCCGGCAAGCTACCGAGAGTATCACACCCACACGGCAAAGCCTGGCAAGCTACCTGTGATGTATTTGATATGCCAAACACAGTAATGTCTCACGATGGAGACATTACTGGGCCCACTCGAGCAAATATAATTATATATCATGATGTTATAAATAACATTGTTTATTATTATATAATATACAATAATATATAACATATTTATACAATATTATAACATGTAATATATTGGATATAATATGTATTCTATGCATAATGTATTATGATATGTGTATTATATATTGGATATTATATATTATTATATATTATATAAATTACATATACAACTTAGATATAATATTTTTCTTATTTTTAACATATATATTAAAATATATTTAAACATATACATATACATAGATATATTTCAAGGGTGTGTTCTGCAACGTGCTTGGTGCTGTCAGGCCACTCCTGGAGACACTGTGCCAACCCGGCTGGGGGTTCAGTGCTAGGAGCTGAGGTGCTGAGCTGCTCAAGCTCCGTGGTGCTGGGGACCATCAGGACACAGCTGACAACCCCCAGGGGACCATCTGGTGTCGGTGACTGAGCTCTGCTTGGGTGCTCCACTGCTTCATGTCCTGGCCCCTGAGACAACAAAGTGATTCAAATCTTTAACCAGATAGTAAATCGATCAGACAAATTGGACAGATGCCTTATTTTACTAGTGGTTTCTTTTATCTTAAGGCAATTGTTACAAATCTTATAATTTCTTGAAGAATTGTAGTATAGGCATAAAATTCAAGGCAGATACCAGATAAAGTACAAGAAACTTTTTACAGAGAATTTAAGGCTGATATAATAGACTCTTTTACGAATTCAAAGAACCATCTAAACAACTTGTTAAATTTTGTTTCTTTTGTTGAATATAAACTTCTTTAGAATTATACATAATATTGTTATACATAATATGGGATGAATATGCAGTATATGATATAAATATTCAATATTTATTACAAAAAGTAAGACATGTCTAGTGAATATAACAGCTGTATTGCGTATAGACTAATTAGTTTTTATACATTTAAATTTCCCCAAATCTTTTCATTTGGTGTCCAAACTAATCTTCAATCTGTGAAAGAAATGTTTCATGAAGATTCTACTTTTATAACTCTCTCTCTTCTTCAAGAATAGTGTTTTGCGGCATTTTTCTCCTCAAATCGGTAGACATGGCAAGTGCAAAGCTATAAGACATGTGACTATGATTAACTGGATTTTTTTTTATGCATCTTGTATAAATATTCTTTTGTTTTAATTTTTTAAATTTTTTTGTTTTTTTATTAGTGAAACACCATGAGGTACAGTTGTAGATTTACAAATTTTTGTGCTTGGATCTCGGTCATACCACAATCAAATGCCCATCCCTCCACCAGTGCCCATTTTCCACCACCAGGATAATATCCCTCCCCCCCCATCCCCCCATCCCCCCCTGCCACTGTGGCAGGGCATTCCCTTTTGTTCTCTCTCTCCTTTTGGGTGTTGTGATCAGCAAAAGAGGCATTGAGTGGTGAACATGTTCAGTCCAGTCTACTTTCAACCTGCATCTCCCCTCCTGGGAGGATCCTCCAAACACCCTCCACTTGGTGTTGCCCTTTCTATCTGAATTGTCCTTTCCCCTAGAATACCCGGCTGGCCTCTAAGTTATGGAGTAATTCTCCTGGTGTTGATCTCAGCTATTCTTGGGTATTAATCTCATATTTTGATTAACTGGATTTTAAAACTACTTTCAGTTTATGTGATTGGAAGTGGTATATCTGCTGCTGGGCCCTAATTTTCTTAAAAATACATTATACCTGAAGATCATTCGATAGATGCTAAAATGTTTGTAATATGACTGTCTCTGGTCCTGAGCAGAACTTCATGAACTCCAATAAATTCTTTTTCTGGACTGGAGTTTCCTACAGAGAAGATTATGGTGACTGGTTTTGGCTGAGTGGCTCTGTCGTCTCTCCAGATTTGTAAGTTTTAGGCAGTCAGAACTTTGCAATTCTTTCTGGGGTTATTTTTAGATTAAAATTCTGGGACATTGTCTTTAAAATAACCTAACTGTGACAGGAGAATATAACAAAGACAATAGATTATAACAGTCTAATAATTTTATCTGCATTCATATATAATTATTTGACCAGCTATAAGTGAACTTTGACATTCCTTATTTTTTCATTAAAAAAGAAAGAAGCATAGTATACTATGTATGCTTCAAGATAATTATTAATAATGGCAAAAAATAATTTTACTTTATTTTATGGATTATCCAAGTAGTATTGAATTTTTTAAAATATTTAGGCTAAAATAATAAAAATTGTGCCTATTTGTGCTTGCTTTGGCAGCACATATACTAAATTTGGAATGATACAGAGAATATTAGCATGACCCCTGTGCAAGGATCACATGAAAATTCGTGAAGTGTTCCATATAAAAAAAAGTGCCTATTGAATTAACAACCCACAATGACTCAATAGGGTAATACCTTATTTAAATGCTTTGAAAAGTTTTATAATTTAAATTATAAAATGCCATCGCCAATTATTGTTTCTTTTTCCTTTTTTCTAACATTAGATTTTTTTTTTTTAAATTACAGATTGCATATCTCTCCAACTACAAATTCAAATCACTGCATAGCATACAGCCCAAGTAAAACTGTTTTAAGTGAACTTTGTTCAAGGAAAAATCGTTTTATCTGCAAACAACAATGTATGTAGCTGTTTCTTTGTGTGGTATATGTGGGCATTACTTTTTGGATTTGTGAAATGTTTCTAATTATGTCATACAATTTTTAGATATTTGAAATTGATGAATTTTTTTTAGATATTTGAAATTGATGAATAATTTTTGCATCTTCTGTCACTTAAAGCATCAAGTTAAATAATTTAGCAAGTGTTTTAGTTCAATGTATGTGCACAATATTAAAATTTACTTTACACATGTATCTTTTAAACTTTCTTTGCAATAATATAAATAAAGCAGTTTACATAAAATAGTATTAACATAATTTTAGTTCAACATATGGCATACTAAATTAGGACATTGCATCTTCCATCTCATATTCTTACAAGTAAGATTTTTCTGGATATCTGAAAGAAGTCATTCTTGATTATGTTTTATAAACAAATGAAACATAGTATGGACTGGAGAGATAGTACAGTGGGTAAAGTGCTTGCCTTTCATACAGTTGACCTAGGATTAATCCCCAGCATCACATGCGGTTCCCAGAATCTTTCCAGGAATGATCTCTGAGCACACAGCAAGTCCTGAGAATCACCTAGTGTGATTACAAAACTAAAACTAGAAACAAAAAATATGTTTCAATCTAGACAGTTTCACTTACATGTCTTTATAGATTCTTTTGCATGTAAATAATTAGGTGTCTTATTTGGCTATAAGGTCTTGCGTGTATATGCAGTTCCTTCTCTAGGCTTGTGAAATTCTTTGCTGTAGTTTCTTGACTCTTTCCTCCCTTCCAACTGTCTTCACCTTCTACCTGTTATCCTTGTTTATTTTCTTATAGATAGAGCTTCTGGTTTTTCATAAATCTTATTTTCTCTCTTACCTCTTTTGAGTAATTTTTTGATTTTTATCTCTAGCCTCATGAATTCTTTTTGCCCGAAAGATGTATCATTTTTCTCATGTTTCTATAATTCTTCTCATTGACTGAATTCATCGCATCCAAAATTTTTCTTCATTTTGGTAGGCTTGATTCTTTTGTTGAAATACTGCTGCTTCTTGATTTTCTTACTGAACTCATTAAGCTGTCTTCCATTTTTTTTTGTAGTGTGACTTTCTTCATGACAGTAATTTTGAGATCCATGTGAGAGTTAAATTTTTTTGTCTTAAATAATTATTCACTTCACTTAATCACTTAACTTCCCGTTAGTCGTTGATTTTCTCGAGCGGGCGCCAGTAACGTCTCCATTTGTCCCTGTCGCGTGCTAGTGTAGCCCAATGGCATCTGTTCACTCTGGGAACATGAAGAGCCTCAAACCGATCGTTTATGATCTTGATGAAGAAGTCTGATCATCTGGTAAGTGGGCGGCCAAGCGGTCTTTTGACATCCCGTGGAATCCAGTCGGTAACAGCTCTAGTCCAGTGGTCGTCTTTAAATCTCATTACGTGACCAGCCCATCTGATTTTTGACACCTTGACAAGTGAGACAGCGTCCCTGATTCTTGATCGTCGACGGATGTCGAAACTCCGGATTCTTTCTTTCATTTGAGTGAAACGTGATATTCCAAGCATAGCTCTTTCTATTCTTCTTTGCCCTACTTAAATAATTATTGTTGGATATTTATTATTTTGGATATTTATTATTTTTTGTGATAACCTGTTGCTGCTATTTTTCATATTATTTCACAGTAATTTTCTTGATTTTGATTCTATAAAAGAAATTAAGCACTTTCTGTTTTACCCAGTAGGTGGTAGTATAGCCTTAATTTTAGGGTTTTTTTTTTTTTCATCTTAAGGTAGCCGGTGATTGAAAAGGGAACTAGGATACTGCATGCAGCTATTGTGGAGGAAACCCCATTCCACTTCACAGTTCAGGACTGCCTTGCTCTATTTCAAACTATTGTGGTGTTTTGCATGCACAGTCTCTGCCCTTGCCCTTTTGTAGCTGCAGGCTCTAAGATTTGCAATCTGTAACTAAAGGGCTGGAAAGA